TTTTTTTTTTCTTTCTTCTTTTGTTATTCGAGGATAGCTTCGTTTCGAAGGAGAAAAATAAAAAAATAGTGCGCTCGCGAACGTATCTCTCATCCCCTTCTAACATTTTAATCTACTTTCGACAAGCGGACCCGGAGTCCTCTTCAACGGAGAAGAGTAAAGCTCGGTAGAGGAGATCTCTTATAGAGAGAGAGAGAAAACACATGAATTAAATTGCGATTGGCAAGGATTTGTTTCTGCGAAATTGAACATCTTGCTTTTAAGCCCGTTTTTCACCAATATAGATCAACTTTAATTTCAGTTCAACTTATTCTTCATCCTTTTCTAATCCTCAGAACTAGAAAAGATAATAAATAAGTTGAGCCGAGATTGAAGTTAATCTACGTTAATAGAAACATAGATTAGATGTATATTTAATAATCTTAAGCAAGATATTCCTTCTAAATCTTCGAATATGGGAACATTCCGATTCCTTAAATCGCGACTTGAAGACGGAGAGAGAGAAATCGTTTGGAACGAGAAATATTCAGGACTCACTCATCGATCCGTCTCTCGTCTCTCTTTTTTTCTACAAATGCATCAACTGTTAATAAAGCTTTTGCAGATAAACACCCTGTTTCCTGTTCCTCGATACCCTTGCATCGCCGCACGATGCGCTGTCTTCTAAAATAAAAAAGGATAGAAATAAAAAAAAATAGGAAGAAAAAGAATAATATGTTATATGTATACGATACGTACATACATACATATATTATATATATATATATATATATATATATATATATATATATATACACACACCATATATGTATAAAAGTGTGCGCAACGTTCTTCTCGAGATAATTTGGCAAGGATTAAAAATATCATAATATTACATCAGCATACAAATGCCTATGTACGTGTGCCTATGTATGTGTATCTGCGTGAGTGAAAATATGTATGTATTTGTGTCTTCGCGTAAATAATTATATATCGCTGGGAAATAACGATATCGAGATTCGCATCTTACACGTGGGATTTTTAAAACGCGCAAAATACTCTCAAATCACGGAGCGTTACAATTTTTTTATATTAATTTCATTTCATATATATATATATAATATATAATAATAAAAATAAAAATAATATTACAATATATATATAATTACAAATAATTAGTTTTATCCGTGATATTCTATTATAATATTTCACTAGATTTTTTTTCTTAATAATGTCCCGCGTAATCTTCACCTTTCAATAGCGAGCCATAAAAAAAATGCAGATGTGCGGAGGGCGGTCATATAATGCTCGATCTATTTGATTCTTATCACAGGAGTCCGCCGTTCCGACCGCCATTCTCTCACATCACTTCGACACTCGATTACCTCCAAATTAATAATTCCTACGCGAACGGCAAAGTGGCGGATAAACAAGCCGTTGAGCATAATGATATAAGTCATATTTTTGCGGAACAAAAAAGACTGTCTAAAAAATACTTAAATGTAAAATGTTACATGAAATCTACACATCTGTATTACGAAATCTACATAAAGAAACAAATTACAAATTTTATGTCGAAATAAATTGCAAGCTATTTAATTGAGCCTGATATATTTGTTGTGCATTAATTTCATTAAACTGGAACTAGTCTGACTAAGAATACGAAATTATTAATCCGTTATATTACTGACTTGTACCATTATTTCGTTCGATGACTCATAATGTGTTCGACAAACGCGGAATCCACGCAATTGGAGAACCAACTGATTTTGTTCCCTTATAACTGTATTCTTCCTATAGTCTTTTCACAGTCTTTCTTCCTCTTTCCTCTTTCGTCGTATAAAGTCTGACTCATACACAATATGCTTCATTTTAAACGCCGAAAGCGTAAGCGTCACGTTGCATTCTTATCACACTCTCCTTATCCTTATCGCCACTATCCTTATTTACACCTTACGCCGTAACGAATGTTCTTCATCTTCCATGCTATTAATTCTACCGCAGATTAATATTACAGTACTACGGCTCGGTTTCGCGATAACTTAACTCCCTCTGGTACTCGCTCAGGCCATTATTACTCGTTAATTGTTATTTCCATTTGATTGTATCGCGTTACATGTTGCACCAAAAGGATCGTATTCGCTGTCAGCGAAACCAAGCTCAAGAACACTCTTCGTTAAATCTCGCATATAACGTGAGCCAAGTTAAACCCTTGTCCGGAATTATGGACTTACCATCCGATCCCGTACTTTGCGATCCCCTCGCGGCATTTGACGATTATAAAAAAATAATAATATAACATCATTAGAATAATGCGTAAAATGCATTTAACGCTTAACGCGCAGTTAGTTACACATTAAAACCTTCAATTTTAGTTAACGTACGGGACTGCGGTTATCTACAAATCCATCCGCGACAATGAAACGTCACGGGGACAAAGATCCTGATTGTTCGTGCCTTCTACTGCGCACTCGGAATTCATATCATAAGATCCCGAGTTACTCATGATAAACATTTAATAAATATTCAGTCCCGTTTCCACTCGTATACTCTGTTCGGTCCATCTTACGTATTTCGGGTTTGTGTAATTAACATCTCTCTATCTCTCTCTCTCTCTCTCTCTCTCTCTCTCTCTCTCTCTCTTCGTACAATTGTTTCGAATTTGCACATAACAAAATCATCGCGATGCACCATCGACATGTACACGCAATGCAGCAATCACGCCATTGATCGTCTGATCGACGATGCCATCTTTGGCCGCTTATCAAACGATGCATGGCAAAAAAATGAACGAACTAGAATAATTTTGCGGTATTGCATTAAATATTCGGATAAAAAGGACGAATAAATTTTCGGATATCTTCGGAGAGTTGGCAGTAATATTTTTATAAGAGAGTGTATCTAAAATTCGGAAAGAGATTTCAATCCGATTGGAATGAGCTACATTTCCGTCGCAGTAGTGTATTTGCTCGCGATAATTTACTTCTTCAAATTCATATTTTCAGCCGGCAGTAGAATAAGCTCGACCGCGTATCTCGTAATTCGGAAAGATTCGGTCCAGACTGGAACACGTTGTTATCCTACTACCGGTAATCTACTTAGGTAAAAACTCGACAATTGGCAGTAAGAGTCTGATATAACGTTAACGATACATCTAAAATTCGGAAAGGTTCTCATAAATGGCGCAATGATCCGTAACAGCGTACTATACAACAGTATTACACTCATAATGTCTATCCAACGTAAAAATTCCTTCCCGACACTTCTCTCGGAAATAGAAATTTCAATAGCAGTCTCGTACCGATTTAAAAGAGTTCGTGGAATACGCTTATGTACTCCGAAAGAAATTTCCCTGCGAAATGATCACGCACGTCACGAACGATGAATGAATATACCTGCGTGATTCATTTCGAGAGAGCAAAAGGAGAAGGAAAGTGAAATCGCTCCCAGATATTTATTGAAATTCAGCTCGGCGATCATAGAACTATTTTCTTAGTTCTAAATAACAGTCGAAATTCAAGCGGCTTTTCTGTTTCTAGGAAAGCTACTGTTGCAAGAGTTTCTCATGAAATATGAGGTTTCGTCAAGTGTCTACAATCTCCCGTTCAAATAGCAGCGGATAACGAATCTCTCGTACGATTTCTCGCGCTCTTGCTCATTTATGGCAAGATCGAGTAGTTATGGCCACGAATATCCATGTACTCGCTAGGTCGATCAACTAAGGTGACTTCAGTACTCGCTAAATCGACTTAATGCACGCAATCGATTTAACGAGTGCTGAAATGGAGGGGTTCGAGGAATGGATCGCAAGACGCCGTTCACGAGAATATCCTCGCCAACTTCTCGAGGCGTCTTTGCGGAAATCCGCAAAATTCACGGAACGATCCAAGTCCATCGAGTAATCCTCCTTCCTTCGTTCGTCGCTATAAGGATCGCGATTCGCAATCGAGTAATATTTACACAGCGTTATGTTCGCAAAATTCACACGATCACAGCAAATCGTTGAAGCAACCGCCGAACCACATCACCACTATCGGCATCAGATACGTCGTCAGCGCCCTGAATAGCGACATCTTCGGCCTGTTGTCTTCTCCGCTGTTCACGGAGATAGTCTGGTTGTTGCTCGTGCCCGTGCTAGTCGTACTAGTGCCCTGATGCGGTTCAATGTCCACTCGCGGCGGTGTCTCAACCTCGTGAACGACCGGTGGCGGCGGCTGCTTCGGTGGTTCTGGCTCCGCTTCCGCGTGTGGGCCCTCGTAACCAGAGCCTTCGTTGAAGCCATCCTCGTCATCAGTAAACGCACCGTCGCCCGAACCACTACCGGAGCCATACCACGTTTCGTCTGTAAAATTGTAGAAGTAGTTATTATCGATGATACAAAGGATATTATTAGTATCAGAGAGAATTATTATGTGTTATTGATAACCGCCAGATAATCACCAGTATCGATCCAATCAACGTCCTGTCCGTTAAATGCCAATTTCAACCTGTTCGTGATGGTGGTCAGCGCGAAAACTTGATCCCTCACGATAGTTGGTCTTGATCCTATACTTCGAACCTCCGGATTCATCGTCTGAGACTCGCCATCGGACGACACCGGATATATATACCTAAAACAATACGAACAGATGTATGTCGTATATCGATTTACTATGCGATATAATATACAAAAGACAACGTTATTGCGCATTCAAAACATGTATGCAGAAAATTGAATTATTAATTTATCTATACAGAGAAAAATTTCGGATTAAAAGTAGACGAACTGAGAATATTCTGATCACATTAGAATTCTATTCAGTTATCTTAACTAGAATTATAAATGGATTCAATCAGAAAATTTTGATTAACCCATTTTCAACCAACAGAATTCTAGAATAGTACAGAATTTATTCACTTCAGCGTACAAATTGCCAAGAAGGGGACTCGGTTTACAATTTCTCTTCTTAACAATCACCAGAAATTCTAATTAATATAGACTCTTTTTTTCAGCGCAGCAAATGAATTTCTTATAACTGAATACCAACAAATAGAATTGATTACAAATAAAATTTGATTCTCTCTTACTTGTCTACGTGTGTGCCGTTCCAACATTCTTTCGTATTACTGGGTGGCACAACCAGACCATCGTTGCACATCCGGTATGGCAAATAGACCCAGAATTGTCGGGAATCACGCACTCGCTGACGTATTTCTTTCACTAGCTTCTCCAAGCTTGTAGCGGAGTCATCCTCCGGTGAGGTTTCCTGGTCAAAGTTCAGGGTTTCCATTTCTAGTTCTCGATTGTCTCTACGTTTACGTCTGCCCAGCATCGGCCGACCGCAACCGGTAAATACGCGTTGCGACACGTCTTGACTACTTTCCTGGAAGTTCATGATCGCTTCGGAGATCTTCAGGTTGATCGGACGCACCAGTACTTCGATGTTGAACGGTCCGAGTAATCGATCGGCGATCTTGTCCACAGCCTCTACATTCGGAAATTGAAAAGCGAATTAAAACTCAAGATCGTTCTTAAAAAAAAATTTTTGTGCAAAATGTGGCTTATGAGAAACGATTTCTTCTATTTTCGTAACTTTTATGAAATATTTTAAATCAGAAAAATATTAAATATTAATGTTAATATTGTTATTGCTTTGTTTTTGAAATATTTTTTAATCAAAGATTCGCTGTTCGTAGCTACGGCAATTCAAGCGAAATGCAATTCATTTCCTTGAGTAAAAAATCTCGCGTAACTTCCGAAGACTTTCAACAACAGATTGTGCGCGTCGATGTGATCCGTATTCTTTCGGAAATATAATAGCCGATATTCGAACGAGAACAAGAGAGAGAAGGGAAGGGGAGAAATTGCTTACCAACGAATTGATTCCAGTCAGTGTCGAGGGCCGCGTATTGCGCCAAGCAACCCTTCATCACGTTGGCACACATATCGCCACACGCCAGTACATTGTCCGATATACCGCTGCAGGCCGGACAAGCTGTCATCCTAGTCAAGGCAGCTGCGCAATCCGCCGATGGTTTGCTCAGCTACGGCCAACAAAGAGTTCATTTTAGATAAGCTATGCACGATTGCGGTTGCAGAACGATGGCGTAATAGCCATAAACATGCGAAGAGATTTGAAGAAATAGGATAGAACCAAGCGAAGAGAATCCGAATGGAACAGAGTAAAAAAGGAATGGAAAAACTAAAGTGAAATAGATAAATTCTCTATGAATTTTTGTACTACGCTTTAAATATTTTATAAATTACAATTTCATAATTTTTTAGCTTCTTCAAACGAATGTAAAATAGAGACAAAGAGACTTTTTCTTTCTCATAAATATATCTATAAAAACAACAAAAATTGCAAAACTACATTTTTCCTAAATTGAAATCCAAACTTCAATTTTTATTATAACGAATATTTGAATCGATTAGATTCATACCGCGTGCAACAAGCATTAAATCAAGTTATATCAATTTGGATACGTTTCCATGGTATATATTTTTTTTTACCGATTGCATATTTTTCAACACATTCGAAGCGACGGTCAAAGCTTGGCTGAATGCTCTCGTGGCTACGAACGACCGTTTAATTTGCACGCCCAATTTCTGTGGCACGTCCCCGAACGGTCGCATCTCCTTCATGTGTTCGCCCACGCACTCCAGATACTTATTGTCGAAGTTGTACTGACTGTTGAGCACGGTGAACATCTTCTGATAAAGGGTGTTGAAGAAATTATCCATAGCATCGTTAAGATCCACCTGAAATGTACGAATAATATTTGATTACATTTAATTACATAAAGTAAGGTTAATTTATAAAGTTGCGTATATTTTATTTATTAGCTTTAAGACATATTTTGTATACTGAAGGGGACTCAAAACGAGGATCGAAACGTTTATATATCTTATTTTTATAAAAAAAAAATTATTACACCTGAACAACTTGTGTTCGCTTTTACAGGTATTACTCTTTCGTTGATTTAATTACACAGTAATTCTTGATCATAAACAGGAATGTATCAGTATTGTACGATTAATATTGTACGTAGACACGCAGACACAGACAAATATATATGTGTACTCACAATGACATAATTAAAGCAGTTTTTATTACATCAATACGCGAGTTTAATACTTTTATTTAACTCTGTTATAATAAATCCTAAAAAAAAAAAAACAATAAATTCTAATTAATTCTAATTGACTCTACTACGATGTGTTGCAACAAATTAATGAAAAGTCTAAACGCTGCTTTCCTTCCGCAGCTTTGATCTTGGAAGCATTGAAAACGATGTGCGATTCGTGTAATGCGACAGGTTAATATTCGCGATAAAATTAGTGACAGCAGCGTTGCAACGATAATGCATTCACGCGATCGGGCATCTCGCCTTCTGTATGCGGAACAGGTTTGAAACGGCGCCGGTGAATAATTCGAGAGGCGATTTGAATGACAATCGACAAAGCATCGTCTCGATCGTCGTTTTCCTTCTCCTCTTCCACCTACGTCTCTCTTCCTTTTGACACCGCGTGACGAATTGTACGACCGTGTATCTGTCACCTACGTCTCTTCCAGCCAGAAGCTATTTTCAACCCTACAGCGCAAGTATTGAATGCGTGGAATCCCGAGAAGTCCATTTCAGTTCTTTTATCTCTTACGGGACTGTAGTCCGATAGTCCGGTTGCTTTCTTAATATCCTTCCGTTTGCATCTATTTGATAGCCATCCGGAGTTTGAAGGAACGACGCAATATTCTTTTTTAACTCTTCGGTGTCGTTCTGAGTATGATACCTGGCTTTCTTTGCCCAATGCTTTTTCATTGCTTTTTTCATCATTTATAACTTTTTTTATTAATAAAGATACATATAATTGCTTGCTATTCGTTATATTTCTTATAATCCGTGGTGACCCACGCTGAACTTTTCATTCAAACCGTTTGACTATATAAAAATAATAATTTTAACTATGTATATAAAAAAATAGTAATGTAAAATAATTTGCTACATTAAGTCTTCTTCTTTATAATAACTTTTGAAATATTTTAAACTATTATGAAATGTTATTTAACACATATATGACAAACGCGAACAAAAATGCCATATCTATACTGAGAAAAATGTTTAATTGAAAATGAGCAAACCAGAAGATTCTGATTAAATCAATCAGTATTCTGGTTATCAATTAGAATTTTAGCAGATTTAATTAGAAACTTTACTATTTAAATCTAGTTGAAATAATCTGAATTTTAATTGATATTATCTGATTTGTTCATTTTCAATCAAATTCCTTCTCAATATAATATTTAAATTTTAAGTGGCGCATGCCAATTTTAAATGACAATTGGTGACGCGGCTTGGTCAGGTCACTTAAAATTGGCATAGGAAAAGAACTATTTAAGCTAAAATATCTTAAAATTTAGCTAGGGTAACTGTCCCAATTACTGTGTTCCTATTAGTGTGCTTTTGTATTTCGATAAGTCATAAAGAAAACTAGCACGAATAAATAAGAACAAAATATTTTTTTTCTTGTTAAGTTAAATTATTAATGTATTCACACGAGATACCGAAGATAAGATTTTATTTTTTCAGTATTAAAGTATTTTAAATATTTTTCTTAAAAGAGAGAGAGAGAGAGAGAGAGAGAGAGAGAGAGAGAGAGAGAGAGAGATACGAGGAATTTATGTGAATCCAGAGTAATACATACCGCAAGATTTTAAGCTTGTCCCTATTAATGTGTTCTGTATTGGATCTGAGAACGTTGTGTTATGAGTGTACTTTGAAATAAATATAATTGTGTGTGTGTGTGTGTGAAATAATGATTTATGTAATATTAACATAAACAATTAGCTTTAATTTATTACCTGTTTTAGTAAAATATGTTAAAATGAGTCAAGTGTGGATAGGCACACAAATTGGGGGCACATTAATAGGGCTATCGCCGCTTAGAGAACTCACTAATAGAGAAAAATATGTTTTCTATTATCTGTCAAAAGCATTATAAAGTATTAACATTTTTTGATTAGAGAAATATTATAAGAAAAAGAAGTAGTTGAAAAAACGATATTAATTGCAAGCAGATAAAATTAAAGCTACAATATTTAATAATTAATTCAGTAATAAGCAAATTGGTTAAAAGATACATTATAAGGGACAGTTACCCTAAATTTAACAATCTAATTTTGTTAAATCATCAAACTGATCTTACAAGAAATTCAAGCATAACGAGCAAAAAGTTTTGACATTCTAGCAATCAGTTTAAACGTCCTACATAATTATTTTGATAATCGAAAATTTTATTTTCAAATCTAGGTATATCTAATTGAATTTTTATGTATTTTAGCAAAATCATCTTCCCGTGTACGGAATATGTTAATGTCTGATGTTTCGATTAAAGAAAAAAGTTTATAATATATTCATTTTTATAAAAGTTACATATATATAAAAACAATCAAATGGATTGAATATTTCCAAGTGTGTGCTATACTTATAGTGTGATATCGAAGAATAAATTCCGCTTTTCACACAATTCTTTCTATTCGTGTCTATGCACCACAGATACGAATTTTGTCATTTCTTCATATTTCCGCGTCTTACTTTTATCTGTTACATCGCTGCTCGATGTTGCATCACACTCTGTGGGAGGTGGATTGCACCTTCTTCACCTTCTTGAGATCGGGACTTTATTACATCTCATGCTTATCTCGAATTCTTCCTTCGTTCGTCTGCTTAATAATACGCATCTGCGAAACAGAATAACCGAGCGCGATCGTGTTTCGAAGTAAAATTAAATTCCATCCCGGAGCAGTCCAAAGCGGCCGCGATTAAAGAGGGATGGCAGGCTCGGATAAATTCAATAGGTCGCGGTGTAATTGCAGAAGCCGTTCGATAGATAGGTAGATATGTACACGAAGGACGCATACGGGACCCTTCCGGTGACGGGATATTTTCGCTTTGGTGGTTGCGGGTCCCTTTACCCGGGACAATGCTGGCGATGTCAAAAGCACATTGATTAAATCCGCCTTCGCACGCGATTCTATCCTCTCCCAACTTTCGAGCTTCAGGAGTGCGGACCGGACATCGTGGACAAAGGATTGCTCCCGCCGTGACTCCAATAGAAGTTTAAAGCGTTAAAGGGAGGAGCTGAAAGTCAACTCACGTCACACGATTATCCTCCGATCACTCGAAATGATGTTCCTCGAAGAATTCAGGGGTCGATAATAACGTATTAATTTTCTTGGGCTATTTTAAAAATAAACTCATAAAAATATTTAATTTCAAAATGTTTAATTTCTTTCTATGAAAAAAGTCCTCTCTTCTTCTTTTCGAAATTCTTTTTCTTCGTAAAACTTTTCTTAATTCTTAAGTAAAAAAAGTGATAATTAATTCTTTGAGAGCGAGAGTTTTCTAACAAAGAAATTTAAAGAAAATCTCGTTTCTAAAAGTTTTCAGAGTCGCCCAATTCAATACTGTCCTCGGAATTTTAAAATTTCAATTTTAAAAGAATAATCCGAGGAATAATCTGATTATTATAAAATTTGATTTTAGAAATGTCTTGGTATCGTTGAATTTGAATGTCTAAAAATATCGAAATTCAAAATTATAATAGTCTCCAATAATAGTAACTTTTAATGAAGAAAAATTTAGTATTAGAGCTCATAATCAGAGTTTAGAAATCAATACTATTAACTGTTTGCGCAGCACTGATGAATTTCACATAAAGGAAAACTAAAAACTAGATTTTTTTTATATCATAATTAAAATCAGGTTTTACGTATGATAATCAGATAATTTAAAAAAATTTCTGTCAGTCATATTAAATTCTCAATTAAAAATTTTTTATTTTTAACCTCGAATTCGAATAAAATAATATTATTAAACTACTCCACTATCAAGTTTCATAAAAATCGAGCGAATGCTTTATAAAATTAAAGGGAGTAAATCCAAATAAGGCCGCCCATTCACAAAGAATTAAGCGATATTAAATCTCTTTACTATAAAAAAATACGTTTCTTTCTTTTCTAAATAATCTTGATAATAATTTTGTGATATCTTTGTCGCGACGCTGCTGTAAGAAAAGTTAAATGAAATATAACGTATAGCATCATGTCGTTATGTTCTATGGATCAATATTGAGAAGGATAACTTGGGATATCCCAATCAGGAAAGGGGAATAAATTTTTCCCTTTGAGAGAAGATTCAGATACCGTGACATCTGTCGAATTACAGGAAGCAGCATCGCCTTTACCACGTTGCTCGTTTCAAATTAGAAAGAGATTACCGCTCTTCGAGTAGTTGTCTCAACTACCTATGTGCTCGCGATATCTTCGAAGGATATATTGCAAACTTTACATCTCTTAGTCTATCTCGTATTTCCTTACGTATCTCGCTTGATAATATTCTAAGAGAAAGGTGTCGCCGAGCGTAATTGCGCAGAAAACGACTTATAATAAACTTTAAATCCCGAGACACGGCTTGGCAGCTCCAGAAATTTTCTTCACAGCTCACCGTCTTATTTATTCGCGCTTAATACACTGGGCGTCTAAGGAGGAGTGAAGAGGGACGATGGACGAGAGAAGACGGGAAAATTAACGCGCGATTGCAATTTTCACCGGAGGCACCTCGTGCGACATCAAACGAGAAGTAAATGAATAGCTCAGCGTTACGGGTGCCATAATTCTAAATTTTCCGGTAATACTCTATTTCAGAAGTGTTCCCTTTCGCGAGTACCAGGAGAGGTTGAACAACGCAGACGCTGTTCTAACATAAATTGATCGGGATCCGACCCTTATAGATGGAATTCTCAGCAAAGAGTGAAATAAATCGTAGTTGCGCCATTTTAACGTCGAGATAATCAAATTCCAAGGGAGGAGGAAAAAGGGAGAGAGAAGGTACTCACTGTTCCCTTCGCGTAATAATTCTCCAGCTCCTTGAAAAAGTCCGTGAAGACGTACGCGTTCTGTTCGTAAAGGATACCGTAGGTCTTCTTGAACATCTCGTGAAAACCTTTCTTGCTACCATCCAGTAGCTCCTTGAAAAAACCTGAAAATGATAAGAAACGCGAGTCATAATTCTGTTTGTATTGCGGCTTATAAATAATAATAAGTCAATCTAGACTGCTGTGTGTTATAAATTAAGCAAAGAAAGAACCAGACATTCAGTCAAGACTAGATGTTGGTGCTTGCTAGCACTGAGATAAATATTTGTTTGAATAGTTTTAATATTTGCTAAATGTAAATATATATTTATTTAATACAAAAACCATTTGATTTAACTATCATTTTTTTCAGTATAATAATATTTTTACACGTAAATTCTAAGCACCTTACAGTTGTATAAGCTGCATATATTTAGCTTTATTATACTAGATTTAAAACGCGATTATGAAGCTGAATAATAAGAGTTAAATTCTCAGTTAAATAATCACAGTTAAATTCTCATCGATTTGACAATAATGTTATTAGCATCTTAAATCGCTGAAAGCATTTATTGCGAAAAATATTATCTCAAAATTCGAACTTGGAAATCCTTCTGATCGAAATTATTAAATTCATAAAATAAAACTTTAATAATTCTTAATCATCGTGTTATCACACACAGCTTCCTTTATAAATATAATTTCTCATTTAAAATTATCATACTTTTATTGTTCTTTATATCTATAATCAATAAAGTGACGTAACACGAAAGAAATTCCAAGATGGATCGCTTATTGCGACGAGTTTCCCGGCGCTTTGACGTCCTTCCCAGCGGAAAATCGCGGTCGAGCGCGAAACGGGAAATTAGTCGAGATTTCAAGGTGCGAGTCGTCGTCGACAGCGTGGAACGGGAAAGGATGGTTCGTATTGCGAATTAAAAGCCCAACGAATTTGCGGCAAATACCCAACAGTCCTGGCTGCTTCTCCGTTCGTCCCATCCCTCACGCCGTGGATTGGCGTCTGTGCTTTTTACACCTCCGGTGGACTCGCGACAGAAAAGGGAGCCGGGTTCGTCGCTAAAAGGAATTTTAATCACATTCCCCCGGTGGAAGCGACGATAAGGGGGTTATTCGTCGGTGAGCGAGAACAGTGGATAGCAGCGAATCGGGGGTGAAAAAATGCTGTTTATCGTTGCATTACAAGTGCACCGTGGCGCGTTGCGCATTGTTCATCGAGAGCTGCGGCCGGAACTGAGTCAATGATAGTTTTCCTCATATTTCAACATCAATACGCTGACATGACATTCAAAGTACCAGCGGAATTTTATTATTAGATTATTTAACAGCTTTATACTCGTCGCGGGAATAAACGTTCAGCATGACAGATTACACGCTGATACAATAAATGCAGATAAATACAGATAAAGATAGTAGGTCGTAAATGTCACATTATACCTTTCAACATACGAGTTAAAATAATTATATATGAATTATGACAATGTAACATTTTACAATTAATGTCGAATGAAATTAAATCTCGACGTCGAATTTAAGATTAAAGTATGTATTATGATCATAAATGGGAATGTATCATCGCATTTGAAATCGTTTAAAATTTTCTGCGGAAATATTAATGTTTAATTACAAAGAAATATTTCGGTGAAATTGAATTAATGTCGACAAATTAATATAACCTACATTTTCTCCGACCAACACAGTTGCGCACGTAAATTGGAAATTGAAGTTCCATTTTAAAATCTTCATAATTTCTGAAAGCCTTTTCCAAATCAATGTCCATTACGCGAGAATGATAATTTCGATCGATATCTTTGATCTTGCTCGCGAGACCGTGGTGTCAGGCAATTAGCGCGGAAATTAGGGCATGTCCCAACTTGGGAAGCATCCTCGGTGTCTAACGATACCGGTTAACGAAATTATTCGAAGGCAGCACCTTCTCGTCGGTCTTTCATCTTTTCCGCTGCACGTCGGCTTTTATGGCCGAAGCCCCTTTGAGATGCCACCGTCCAACTTTGGCACCTGGTATCCACTTTAGTCGGCACTTCGCTAGATAGAAGTTCGTACAACCTTTACTAGAAACGTGAGTCCTCCATTATTTATACAAAATGTACATCTACAGGATATGTATGTATATTGTTTTTATTTGAGGGCAGGATATATATCCCAAATCGAAATATTCTTAATCTTTTAATTATCAAAGTTTAGGAAAAAAAGAGATATATTTTGTACAACAATTTATAATTTTAGATTAATACGCATCTTTCGCTATTATACATACATACAAAGTTGCTTGAAAATGTTCTCTTTATTTAAAAAAAAAAAAATCTTTTAATAACAAATTTTTATCTATTTTTTGCTTTCATATTTATAATTCAAGTCAATTTTTCAACGTCATAAATTTTCTTTTGTTGTACATATATATATAGTACAATGTAGTTTTTTAACAAACGTTCTAAGAATATTCTGTATTGCAAGAATTAATGTGATTTGTCACATTTATTGATTTTCTACAAATAACAAAAAAAGTCTTGTGGAAAGCCATGATTTATGCATTTAGAAATGCATTTCTAATCTTAATCGATGTTGTTACGGTTTTTCACGACTGATATTAAATTGTGGCCAAGTTATTATAATATACTTTTAGTCAATAGCAGTCGAATATTTTACAGCGATCTCATTTTCTATCTTATCCAAAGATTTCTTGATTCTTACCATTCTTCATAAAATAAGACACCGAATACTTGTTTGCTAAAAAAAATTGCGCTTCGTAAGATAAGTGAAGAAATAACGAGTGAAGAAATATCATTATGTAAGATTATTTAAATGTACAAAGACCGCGCGTTCTATTATACGCGATAATGTCCCCGGAGAAGTTCTTGCTCGAAGTAGTTGCTCTTCGAGGCACGCAGCTGGCGTTCACGGTAACGGATAATGTTCGAAACGGTTTCAAGAGAGCCCGAATAATTATCGTCCTCGACACAGGCATTCCGAAGGCATTCGCGTATTGTACGAATTGTTAACGCTACCTACGCTAATTACGATGGCGTACTCTCATTCAACATTCAACTATTAATTGCACCGAAGCAGACGGTGCTCTAGATGCAATCTAGATCGCATTTGTTTGCGGTACACAAAGATAGATGTCCCCGGACTTACAGATGTTTGACGGATATTAACAAAAGATATAACGAGGACGCGAACCAGCGGCAAGCCGATATTAGAACGCAATTTAAAAGCATAATTTCTTACCTGTGCAAATAGTTTTAGAATTTAGCCGATAGAATAATAACTAAACGGACAGAACGGTTTTGCTGAAGTGTCTAAAAATTTAGCAGATCCGAAAATAATTTTTGGATTATCAAAATAATTATATAGGACAATCAAGATGACTACTGGACTGTTAAAATATGTTTTACATAATTATTTTCGTAGCTAGCTAAATTTAAAATTTGCAGACCTTTTACACAATCATTTCTTCCATTTAATTTTAAACAAGAAGAAACTACAAACTCTTATGCGGATACAAATAATTTTTATGTACCAATAAGAATAAAATAAATATTTCTGAAATAAATTAATTTAATTTAATTTTAATTTAAATGAATGTTAGTTCAACATCTTAACACTCGGAACTGTAAGAGCGCTTCGTATTTAACGTTTAAATATTTCAGTTCCATTTCCAATCAGATCAATAAAATAAAGTTTAGAAGTAAATTATTAATTAAGAAAATGGATAAATGACGATCTGATTGCGCGATATGAATATGTATTATATTTGCTTGTATACTATTTCGTTATTAAATTTGTCTGTAGTAGCAAACGTCGTGCAAACTCGGGCAAATCAAATTTCAGGCGAATCCCGACCCCAGGATTCGGATATCTAAAAGGTGTATGTAAATGCGAATATGCGGAAACACTTTAGGGAAGGTAGATACCGTCAGAAGCATACGAATACAAAGGAAACAGCGGATATCCTGATGATCCCCCACGTAATTTACGTGAGCGAAGGTATGACAGATTCTCCCTATAAATCGCCGAATAACAAATCAATAAGGACGCTTTTATTTGCAGCGTGGCGGTAGTTTCATCCTTGCCAAACGTATTCGGTGAAATATATGGGATATTCCTATTCGCTTTTTTTTTCCGTTAGCCGGGATATTTCCTTGTAACTAATATCTTTGTAACAAAAATATTCATTTCCTATTTCCAACAAAATTGCTTTCGCAATTTCCAACTATAAATTTCAGTCAAGAAAATTCCGTTCTGTGATTAATACAAAATGGTGCTCAAAAATACAGAATTATGCTAAATAATTGCCGGAATATCATGAATTTTTTATGAATAGTGCATTTAACATAGTATAATTATAGCCATACTGGTGGATACCAAAACTCATAAAATTTTGTTTCAAACTTTTCGCCATTCATTAGCTTAAACTTTGTGTCCACAATGCTAGAAATCACTTTGAGATCTCAAATAAAAAAAGAATTAACAAATCGTATTTGAACAATTTGACCAATGAGATTGAACAACAACCAGAGAAAAGTATCTTTGATTTAAAAAAATGTTTCTTTGCTGTATGGTTAAAGAAAGAATTTCTTTGATTTAAACGTCATTTTTTTATTTGAACATAATTTCTCTTCTCAAATAAATTTTTTATTTAATTTAAAAAATATTGTTTAAATCAAAGAAATGACGTTGTGTGAAATCGAAGAAACCTTTCTGTGAATAAATTCTTTTCTTGCGTGAGATCTCGGGACGATTTCTACACAGTACAAAATATTTTCTGTTTGTGTTAGAAATGATCCACACAAGTCCTTGTTAAAATTTTGTGTTGAATTTTTAATATATCCGAATATAATTAATCTGAACGTGTTACTTGAGTATTTTTTGTTAAACTGATATTCAACATTTTTTATTGCTAGTGTTAAAATAACAAAATTTATGTATGAGTAAGTAAACAAATTATATATACATACAAATAATGTTTTTTTTAAAACGCAAATTCTACGGTAAATGAAACTCAACGACAGTCACTCGTGGCATTTACAAGAAAAAAAATTCTTTCATTTAATTTAACGCGCCCCTAAAATCTCTTTAGTTCCTAAAAAGAGTTCCTATGTCATTTTGCAAGTATCATTATTTTTTTCCTTCATATATTATTATAATATGAAGACGCAACCGAGTCGATACACTCAACAATGGCCCGCATGCAGATGCCTCCTCGAGCGTGCACACAAAACAGTGCATCGGCATCAAGAGCACGCGTCCCCCTCATATAACTCTTGTAAAACTCTCGTCGATGCAGCCCGCGGTTCCGCTTTAATTAGAAAAAAACCTCGCAAGTCGAGCTCTCGGATTGGACGAGCGCAACCGCAGCGAGAGGTCGTCAACATCCACTTTCGCGTTGAACCGTGGCTGCCGTTATCCCTGAAATCTCGTTTCATCCCCGCTCTTCATCCCTACGCCTAACTCCGGAGGTCCACGCTTAAGACAAGTGTGTGCGTTCAATCGAGCATTGTGTTTCGAGCATATCCGTTAAAAAGTTAGCCCGGAGCACTGACTAGATGTTCACCGAGGGTGATCTTCCGAGTGACGTCCGATCGATTAAACTGTGAGGATGATAAGTGAGCGGCAAAGATAAAAAGACACAACCGCAAGAAAAGAGAGAGAGAGAGAGAGAGAGAGAAAGAGATTTTACTTTATTTTTACTTGTGTAAAATTCGTTTTAGTTACTACTTCTTAATTCTTCGCATTTCTGTATAAATTTACATTTTATATATACAATACAAAGCGCTTGTTCTTTTCAGCAGAAGTTTCTCCAGTGATCTCTGAATATCCTTCCCTTCCTGCATACTCAATCCTATTTTGCAATCTTACGTTGTTCTTAAAGTGAAAGAAACATTACAATCTTTCAAAAGACTTCTTCGAACGTGCAAAACGAAGAGTAGTCTTGTCCGTTTTCGCTCTTTCAACTGTTGGAAACTCGAGTATCTTACTATGAAATATTGGCTTTCCGATTCTAGAATGTACGAGCACTGCGCGTTACTTTCGAATAAGTGGATTAAAAGAATTTGAATAAGGCGATTAAAAAGTTTCGCCGGGATAAAGCGAACAAAATGTTAGGCAAGCAAGCGGAAAGTAAAGGGGCGGTTTACACTAAGATTTGTATCGGGGACACAAGGGACACTTGTTAATCGTAAACATGAAAAATAAAATTTAATTTCCTACTTTATCCTAAAAGATTTCTATCAAAGATAATAAGTCTTATATCCAAAATATAAGCCTCTATAAAGCTGACTCCACTTTTTCAAAATTGGAAAAAATGAGCGGAGTTCTAGTTGTCTCTCTTAGGCACTCTGACTTTTTGGAAAGTTGGAACAAATCGACTTCTTGATAAACAGTTAAAGCAATGAAATCGGACCCTCAAAAATGTCTTCGACCAACGATAATAAGCAACAAAGGAAATCTTTGTTCTCTCTCCGCTGCCCTTCCTTCATTCATTCAATTCTTCGATCCAGGCAGAAAAAGAGGTAAAGAAAGGCGCAGCTCGTGATATTCCTATCGCCACGCGCAGTGATTTTCCTTATCGAAGAAATCGACAAGCGCTACTCACTGTGGAACCTGTTTCCCCGCGTATGGAGGACCTGCTGCATTCTGTGGAGAGCTTCTTTGGTGGCCATTTCGTGTTTGTCGCGTGCCCGTGCCTGCAATCTCACTTCCATGTCGGCTGAACAGCACACCTCGCCGCCGCTCCTCACGCTGCCACATACTTTAAGCTCCTTCGCTATATGAACAAAAGAAAAAAAATCGTAGATTAGTAAAAGAACGCCCTGACGAGACAGCGAGGGAATCGGCACATTCGACAAGATTTAGAAATTCTGGCTATCTGAAGCAAGGAAAAAGTGATATATTACAATATATGTACAC